ACCCATCTATACTTTGTTCAGTTGTAAAATAATTAATTATTCCTGATTCTAGTTAATTATTGATGGCCTAATGATTTTTATGAAAGGTTACTAAACGATTGTATTTAAAGATCAAAATAACCAAGTATTAATATATGGAGAAATTGTCACCAAGAAAAAAAAGTGGTAGCCAATTTCATCACGACGTTTATTACCGTTGGATTTTTCAAGTTAATCCATCTACCATCAATCCTTGAACGCACTTCACATGTCAGTACATGTAAGTTTTCATGCTACGGGAATGATAAACAAAAGAATATCGAAGTATAAATTGACACAGAATATGCCCAGAATTGTTCATACATCAGAACATATTTATTTAGTCAAACTCATTTAAACAATAGCTCCACAGCCAACTTTTTTTTTTTTTTTTTTTTTTTTTTACACAAATGTGCTCAGAACATTTATATCAACTGTAGATCCTAACCAAAAAAATGAAAATAAATAAATAAATAAAGTGGAGAGTTAGTTCAATTAAATTCAGGACTAGATAGAAAAGAAAATCTACAGAACATCAGCATAAAAATAAACCATTATTGAAAAAACAAGAAAATATTGTGTTAAATTAATCCGAAATTGTATTAGACACATTGCTTTTTTTTTTTTTTTAATTATAAAAGCAAATATTTGTAGTGTAGAGTATTGTTTATTTAAATTATTTGTGTTGTTTTAAAGTTTAAAACAAGTTGGATAAGTTTGTCACTGAAAATAAATAAATTAAAAAAATATGAATTGTAATAGTTGAAAGAAAATTTATAGTAAATAAAAAATGTTCACCGTTTAGATTTCATAAATTCAATCCAATTTTTAAAACATTTTTTCTTCAAAAGTAAATGTTAGTTTAACAGATTGATGTAATATAAAGAAGAAAGAAGATTAAAGAAGATAAGAATTAAACTGAACAGAAGTTATATACATTATAAACTAAATACAATTAGTTAATAATTGCAAATAGTTTTTGCGTGTTAACTAACAATACTTTTGACGCCTGAAGATGATGTTAGTACGAAAAACCGAATTAACTTGCTGATCAATTTTTTTAATGAGTCGAGTATTGGTGCAGTTAAAATTAAAAAGTTATAAAATCCTAAGTCCTAACCTTTTTAAGGATGGTTGACACATAGAACAATGTCAAATGGCATTGCTTTTTATTAAAAAAACAATTGAATGAAAGCAGCATAATTATGTCACGTTAACATAATCATGGCATAAATTGTTTCTTATAATAAGGGAATCAGAGGCTGGAGAGTAAATGTTAATAATGCACAATAAAAAATATATCTATTTTAATGATTTAAGTTCTGAAACTAATATTAATTTTTCATTGTACTTTTTTTTTTTCTCAGATACTCCCTAAGGAAAAGCAGTTATAATGTGTATTAAGTGCCTCTGATTCATACCCGGATAGTTCGTTCATAACCCCGAATATGCCATAAAATGTTATTTCGGTAATAGATAAACAATTAAGAAAAAAATATAGTTGCACGAAAAAACAGCCTGGCAATTATTGTGAACGATGCGTTTTATTGAATTCCACTCTGTAAATATTGAATATTATTAAAAAGTAAATAGCATCCCATTATGAAACAACATGAAACAAGTCCCAGAGATAAAAAATAATGCACTGTAAAGTGAAATGGAACTGGTGTAATGCTGTTTCTACAGGCTTCAAATATTCATAAACATACAAATGCGTATGATAATGATCTGAAAAAGTGAACATTAATTATGTAATAATACACGTGAGAGTAACAAAGGAAAAATTAATAAATAACTTTTGTTATACGAGAATAAATACTCTAAAACAATATCTGAGTTGTAACAGAATACTTCAAAATATACAAAGGAGTGTAATTTTTTATAGGATGATAATGCTATGTAATTGCAATACATTAATTTTTTTAGAAGAATTTAGTTTAGTTAATATTAGAAAAAAATTAATTAATGAGCATATTAAGGCAACAAAAGTGATCCCAATGGTTGAAAATTAAATAAAAAATCCAATCTGACTGATAGGAAATATTAATTTTTTTTTTAAAAGAGAAATGGGAAATTATCAAAATCATAAGTTTTCAAAAATTATTAATATGTTTTGTAACATAGTTTGACACTGGACCAAATTGTCCAACAAAGATACAACTTCAAATGCTTTTTAAACTCCCAAAAAGTGATGTTGACATATTTGCACTTAAAACTTTACGTCTTTAATTAAAACCGAACTTTAAGAAGGATTTTGCCTCTACTGTATTCCACATCAGATCAGTCGTAATATCAATTTGGTAGATATGATCTACATCCAAAATAAATATTCACCTCTTAAATCTTCCTAAAATTATACCTTGCCCAATAAAGTAATAAAAATAAAACCACCAATTGATATAATTAAAAATAACAAAGAGGGAGGGCATGGTCATGGCTAAGTTTAACACATTTTAACTGAAGCAGAGGTTCTTTAAAAAGTAGGACAATTTCATATATTACATTAGCCAGTTTTGAAGTATTTCTGCCAGATTAATGAATTAGATAATAAATTAAGAGGGGGGATAAAATTGTATTATTGTTGAATACTTGGATTGTGTCTAATAAAAAACTACTTGTCAATTTTATCATCTATACAGTAGTTAGAAAATCTATAAAAATCTACTATTATTCAAGGCCTTTTATGAACATTATAACTATATGATAGTTTCTTCCATTCACAGAAAATATTGCATATCCGCTGTCACTACACAACTGTAAAAATAATTTGATCAACATCAAATCATTTTTCATTTAATTTTTTGTTTATATATACAATTTGAAGATCCAGTTTGAAACAGCCTGTTGAGTATTTCATATATAGCAGACTGTTAAATTCGAATGTTTAAGTTTTATATAAAAATTCAATGGGTGAATTTTTTTTTTTTTTTTTTAGAAATAATTGCACAATGTAAGATTCGAGAGAAGAAATATAATTCCAACCGCGAATTGTTATCAGTACATTATATTGAAGCGTATAAAGTTGTTTGTTGAAATCAAATAAATCCTAAATTAGTCATAAATTCCATGGTTACATTGACTAATTAGATTATAATTGGCACAAGGAAAAAGTAATGCCAGATTTTTATGAATTGATATTTAGAGGGGAGAAATGTTTTGTTTTTTATCAACACTTTGCAGTTAAGAAACAGCATTGTTAAATTATTCAATTTCTACAATTGACCAAGAGTAAAATTATGCCTAAAAAAATAACATTTCGCCAATGTCTTAAAACAGCATTTTCAACAGAATCCCTTTAATAAAAGCACTGTATAAAAATACTATAGGGGAAAGTAGCAATGTTCATTAACTTATGGAACATTTTCTCACTGTAAAATTTAAATAACAGAACAAGGTGTGCTTCTCCTTTTTACAAGACAGTTACTTATTCAGTTTGTTAGGTTTGCTTCTTGTCAGTGAATTTTATGACTGTGAAGCCTTGCAAATCTTAGTGCACTTTAAAGAATTTTTGAACTTGTAAACTACACTTTTTGTCTAGAATGAGAATAAGAGAACAAAACTTATATAATGCAAATCTTCTATAACGACAATAAATTTGTTTCCTAAAAACAATCCATCATCATTAGTGACTTTTGAGGCATGCTCAAGCGGTAGAAGTTACATTTTAAATGTTACGACTAAAAATAATTTTTTTTTTTTTTTTGGTCGTTAATTTCATTGTTTTTTAATGATTTTATTTGATTGCTTAACTGTTTATAAGTAATTTACAGACAACCTGTTTTATTACATGACTGATTGACCTTCGTGAGGTACAATAAACCTTGAATGAACGTTTAATCTTTCTAATTTTTCTTGTTATATTAATAGCTAAATTAACGAAGAAAATGGAATTTGTACAAGTTTGTGAGGGGCTACCAGTACATTGAACATGTTTATCAATAATTTCCTTTATATGAAATGTTTTATGAATACACAGAGTCGAACTAATCGTCTAAAATTGGTTATTTTTTAAGGAGACTAAGAAATATATTTTAATGTGTTAAAGATTGCATCATATAAATTATATTAGTGTTAGCGAACAATATAAATTTATATTTGTTTTTCTATTATCTGAAAAAAATTCTTATAACGATACTTATAATGCTGATTGTTTATACATTTATACTTGTTACCAGTTTCAATTTAAGTATACATGTATAGTTTTAGTGTTATTGGACGATAAAAAGTTTCTTGGGAAAGAAAAAGTAATAACTATTTCCAGTTAGTTAATTAGTATTTGTATTATTTGAATTGAATGAAAGATTTTCATCGATGAGTAAAGAACATTAATATTCTTACCGAGAAAAAAAAGTTTATTGTTTATGTAGAAAATCTTAAATTATAGAAAAACCACTTTAAAAAAATTGTGCTTTGGCTCTTAATTTTCAAAACACAAAATTTTATCAACGTTCATGAAGAAATCCACCCAGTATCCAGTACCATGCCCCCATGTAACGCTACACCGACAATTGTGCATATTAACTTAAGTTTTAATATGTAGTGATGATATTGTTAATGCAGCAGAGTGGATATGTAATTCTTCTTGAAAGAATATAATTGGAATTAAGGTGTAATACTTTCGTAATGCCTGTAAGAAGAATTTTACCATCCTTCAGACAGATGACTCTTCCCGATAATGAAGTTCAAAATTCATAACTAGTTTTCAAATAAATAGGAGAGAATATATATATGTATGTAATTAACCTTCATCTATTATTTCATTCACTATTTAATGGCCTTTTTATAGGTAATAAATCCTTTGAAGTTTTTAAAAATATTTTCTAATGGTTTTTGCAGAATTATTTCACTTAAAGCTGTGATAACCACTTTTAAATTTAAATGTGTTCAAGGTGGATAATTTAAAATAATGTTTAATTTGACTTACTCTTGTGGTTAGTTAATCTATAAACTTATCGATTATTATGATATCAGTTTCAACTCACCCCTTGTCTTTGACCTGAAACAAACATTAAAAAATTATTATTATATTATTTTTTCTGGGTGGTAAGTATATTTCTGTAGACTAAGCACAACCACAATATTTAAATTTTAAATCCAATTTTGTGGTGCAATCTCGACTATTAAAAAAATTGTCGACCTCGACAGGACCCCCAAAATTGATTCTAAACATTTCGCACGTCTGAAATTTGAGCGGCATTCATGACCGTTCCACAACCAGTCGAAATTGTTATCTTCCTATCATAAAAATCATAAAATCATCTTTTGTTATGCCACTGTTTGCTTGTACATAAAGCAAAATACCTAAGAGGAGTGATTTTTATCAATTTTTAGAATGCCTGCAACAAGCTTTGATAGCTTGTACACAGGGACGACAGGTCTGCTGGTCTGAAATTCATGTTTATTAAGTTTTTTGAATTGCATGTTAAGTAAAATATCACCATTTATACAAAGTTGCATAGTGTTAATTCGCCCAAGGCTAAGGTAATGTTTAACAACCCGAAACTCACCATAAAAAGCTCCATGATTTTATTTTTTTATTTTTATATCAATGAAGTAGAGAACTTTATCTATTAACAACTGTATTCACATAATAGGCTAGGTCAGCCATATAAAACCAATTATCCAAAGCTGTATATTGTCATATAAAACAATAATTTTTTTTTTCCATTAATTTTTGTAATACTTGATAAACTGCTTGGTATTAAGTAACTGGAACAGGATTATCCCGTTTTGTTTATTGCTAATCCTTACTCCTAGATTTAAATATATCCATTTTTTTAATGTATGAACTGGTTTAGTTAGTGTTTTCACTTTTCTCCTGTAATTATTATTATAAACTTGATTATATCCTTAATTTAATTTATTCTCAAATCATTTCTATGGGCAGTCTAGGGGCATTAAAAACCTACATCCCTTAAACCTAATTCAATGTAACATTTACGACCGGATGGAGGCATTACTCAAATTACAGGACAGACACTGTGCCAAAAAGGGAGGGTTTCAAATTCCTGAACACATGCTGTAAAAGTTTGAAATGGAGCGATGGAGTTTGGGTTTGGTTGAATATTTGTCGCTCTGCACCCTGCCAGTCTGAAATCATTGTTTTTACCTGACAGGGGGTTTTCAGAGCTGGTGAATGGCTGGCTTTAAAATTATATAGCATTTGTAAAGTGTTGTGATTGGTCTACAGAAAATAAGACCACAAATATTGGTATAATTGACTATAAATTGGACTAAATTGTTATAATTAAAATGTTAAAATCAAAAAAAAAAATAAAAAAAAAAAAAAAATCAAAATCAAAACAAACTAATACCTTGATAATTATATGTACCTTCCATGCCTTCATAGTCTCTGAGATTGTCACCGGCGCTGTTGTTATAACCACGTTGCATAGATGCTTCCTGTTGATCCATTAGATTATTTAACTGTTGTCCCTTCAATAACATTTATTTTTGTTTTGTTTTATCCAAAATACGTCAGTTAAATTTACTGTTGTCCAAAAAATATTCACCTGCATAAAAAGGCTGTTTTCCTGTTGTCGCCTTCTCAATTCATCATCTTGATGTGACATTCTTCGTGACAGTTCTTCTTGTTGCCGTCTCAAAGCTTCTTCTTCGACAATTCTCTGCTCTTCAGCCTGTCTTTCCTTCATCTCCCATTCACGTTTTTGACGTTCTCTGTCTAATTCCCTCTGGCGAAGTTCTATAGAACAATATAAGACAATTCGATAAAACTTATTTAGATGATGTGAAATATGAAAAACTTACGCTCTCGTAGTAGCTCAGTTTCATGCTCATATCTTGCATATTGCATTTGGGCTTCCAACTTGTCTTCTTCAAGTTTCATCTCTCTCTTGAGAGCTTCTTCTTTTTGTTTGTACAGTTCGTGGATTTGTTTCCACCTAGTGCCGAACTCGAATTCAAAGCTTCCCTGTTTCGCAAAACGAGGCCCACTCTACAAACACAAGATAGTGTTAAAAATACAAATTACGAGTTGTCTTTATTCATCATTACCTCTCTGGCTTCAAAATAATCTGCTCCTTTTTTGACAATAGATTTTTCAGAATATCCATCGGTATCTTCAACTACATCATAGGGTTCCAGAATAACTGGTCTGAGGGTGCTAAGCATTACGAGAGGAAAAAAGTTCAAATTAAACAGTGCATTGCTTTAGCCAACAACTATCATTTACCTTGTGAGGAAAAAGCAACCTTCAGAACAAAAACGTAGAGCGCTTGTTGCTCCAACTTTTCGCGTGAACTCCACAAGACCTTCTCTCAAACTGTTTCCTCTTTCATCGACAAACACAATTGCTCTTTCAACCTGAATTAATGATGTTTGTTTATTTGAATTGTAACTAAATTTGCATTATTTTTGAAACCATTACCTCTCCAAAGACTGAAAAAGCCAGCTCCAGTAATTCATTGGTTACATGCTGTGTCAAATTTTTAACTTTGACCGCTGCACCAATAGGAGCAAATCTTACTTTAAGATTTCTGTTTTTAAATGAATGACCATCCAATTCTCGTTTGGCCTTTTCTGCAGTAGATCTATAATCCTAAAATTGAATTGAACCATAAAATAAATTACGGTTGTAATATTGAGTGTAGAGAATTTCTCAATAATTACCAGTCGGATAAAAGCAAAATTCTTTTCTTTATTGATGTACAATTCACTGGTCAGTCCGTACGGTTGAAACAGTTTCAGGAATTCGTCTTCTGTTGCATCTGGAGGTAAATTACCAATGTACAGACGGCATCTACCGTTAAACATCTTCTCCTTAAACTCTTGAGGTGGGAGATCAAGAGTTGGGCCAGAAATTTGCTTCAAAAGTCTCTCATTAACGAATGAACTCTAAAAAATTGAGAGAAATTAAAAAAAGGGCAAAACATTCCAATAATATTAGTACAGTATGTGTTCATTCTTATGTGCTTTCTTTCTGTTGGAAGGAACTTACATCTCTCGGAGCTTGATCTCTGTCACGCATTTGTCCACCACCTCGCCTTCCTCTTCCTCCATGACCTCCACGGCCACCCGTAAAGCCTCCAGAGTTAGGCTTGTTGTCGCCATCAGCATGCTGATGGGTTTCCATCTGTATAAAAGAAAAACAGTTAACACAAAAAGGATAGTAATGGTTCCATCTATAAAACAAATGAAGTAGAAGATGGAGAACAGATGAGTAAACAGAATTACATATAACATTTTCATTTATTTTCTGCGAAAAGACCAAACTGAATTCAATATTGAATGTGACTATTTTTGTCATTAGAATATTTCCAATTAAACATTAGCACTACAAGACAATGAAATATTGAATTAATTGTTTACTTAGAATAGTGCACTGTTATTTTGAGTTTTATTCATGGGGGTCAGTCTGTGTGGTGATGTACTTTTATATTAATTCCAATCATTTTGGTCTGCCTATTCCCACCGGTATGGTCCGACCTGTGTGATTTCCATCAGGGTCTTGTCTAAGTTCATATAACTAAGAGGTGTACATAATGTGCATTTGGCAGATTAAGCATTTAAGCTGTTGCGTGGGAGGGTGGTTTATTACTGGTCGCTTGATTGAGACTGAAAGAAAAACTGCTAGTTGACTTATGAGCGGACGGACCTGAGAAAAATTTCTCAGAAGAGGACTGAAGGTATGAATTTTGGGCAGAAGGAATAGCAGGACTAGGGCCCAAACAAGAAACGTTGAGACTCCAAGGATGTTAAGCATTTTTTAAAGGATTGTTTACAATACGTCACATGATGAGCCAGACTTACCAAGGCATTCTTTATAGAAAATAACTTAAAACATAAGGATGAGTGTTTGTTGCCTCTTAACCAGAGAGAGAAAAGTCTATTCTGGGACTAAAGTCCCTTAAGAATAACAATATCACTTTTTTTTTTTTTTTTAAATATAAAACTGGCATTTGAATTATAAAGGTTTGACATAACAACTAGTGAAATAAATTGACATAAAACACATAAAGTAGCAATTTCAATTAATTATACTTTTTATCTAGTCTTGTTGAGATGAAAAAGTTAGTATCACGAGTGAGATTCGAACACATGACCTCCAGCTCAATACGCTGTTTCTCTATCACTTGAGCGATGGTGATTTTTTTCCATCTCAACCAAGACTTTAGATAAAAAGTATAATTTATTGAAATAATTAAATGATTATGAAGTTATAACAGCTAAACATATATGGATTAAACTAGTAGCAATAATCACAAACTGTAAACTTAAAAGTTGAGAAAAGGAAAGAGACAAGCTTTCTTATGTAGTAAAAGGACCTAATAATATTATAGATTATGTTGGTTGTCTGGAGGGAGATGAGATATTGTACGGAAGGGTAAAAAGAGGTAAGGTAGGCAGAGTGGCAAAGGAAGAGAATTCCCCCTAAAAGTAGCACATACAAAAACAGGAGTTCAGATTATCGGGAATGACTGGATAAGAAAGGTTGAGTTAGTAGATTGACATAAATCAAATTTTCAATTTTCAAATTTCAAATTGTGGTGAGAAAATCCTGGAAATATTGCGTTTTGGCATGTCAAATGATTGATTGTGTTTTGTGGCGTAAGGTTTAAAAAGAGTAGTTATCAGAAAATTTAGTTGGGTAGGGTAACGGAATGGGAAGAAACATTTGGTTTGCGCTATGTCTCATAACGTGCTAGTAGGGATTGGGTATTATATGGCAAATGGTAAAGCCACGTTTTCCTAGGGACGGGTTTTGTCCACCACAGAGGACACAATGATGCTCCCTACTTAACTAATGGGAGGGAATTCCGAGGAAGCGTATGGCGTCATCCGCCAGGCTGATGGGCTTCAAAAGCGTCAGTAGCAGAGTTTACTGATTTCATCTTGTCTCTTTATTATTGTATTTTTGTTTTCCCATAATAATTGAGTGAGGATCTGTGTGTGGCTCAGGATGAAGGGTTGATCGAGCTAGCAGTGAGAAGTTTTGTGGGACTTGTACCACAAGATTTCCAAAACATTTTATTGAAGGATCTTATATAGATAGAGAATAGGAATGTGTTGACCAAGAGTCAAGTCTATCCAGTCCCCAGCCACCAAGGTTGGGCTCGGGGGGGGGGGGGGGGGGTGCTGTCAACAGACAGGTCAATTCAGCACCCAACTCATGCAGTTCCAAACCCATTCATACTCATGTTCATTCTTAAATATCCATTCATTCAATTAGGGTGATGGAGTACTCAATATTCCTCCATAACCGTTTACCATTTCATACAACTAACCTAATTGAGGTCGATGGGGTACTCGATATTCCACCAACAACCATCTCATATCACATTCATGGTAATAAATACATTCACTCTTAATACAAATTACATATAGAGACATGTATATTTTTCAAACAAAATTTCTGATTGTAAGCTGTTAAGTAATTTGAAGTACTGTATTTAATTGAGTAAATTAACCTAATTTTAATAATTCAACATAATTTAATACACGTTTAATTAAATTTTTCTAATTTTATTACTGTAATTATTTTTTTCTATTTTCAGTAATCCATTGCTAACAGAGGTGGAAAAGCATCCGTGACCACTACAAAAAGCAAAACAAACAAGGCACAATCGGTTGTCGGCAGATGGTAAAAATGAGCGTCTAACTGACCAGGCTCAATTAAAAAAAACAAACAATTGAAGACGAGAGGGATTCATTATACTTCACATTCATTATGTTATTAGGTACTACATCCACAAAACTGAATCAAGTCGTCCTAGGAAAACATTTTCTGCGAAGTGTTATTTCCGTCATAAATTTTCCGTCAATTCCATCATAATCATGACTTCATATTCCAGCCAGATAAACCCGTCGCTTGGAAAATGCATCTTAAGCATGATTATGGGTAACCCGTTTTTCTGTTCCTTCTCTCCTCCCTAGATGGGAAATAATGTCAAAAGGAGGTGATAGGAAATGTAATAAAAGGCTCAGTCAAAAAATGCTGAATTGGAATCTCAGTAAGGCAGATGGAGAGTGAATGAAGTCGACTGTCAAGGGTCAATATGAGTCGACAGTAGATCTGTCCATTGTAGAACGAGTCAACTGCTGAGTGTCTAGGATGCAGCAGAAAGGAGGATGGACTCAGTCAAACAGGGCCAGAACAGTCGCCAAAGAGACGAGGCAGTCGGGACCAAGACGAGTCAACTAGTCGTCTGTTGATTGTGTGGTATGCTGCAGAAGGTGCTAAAGGATGTGGAAGCTAGTGATGGTAAGCATCGTTTGGGGTCTCTTGTAAATAAGCTCATCCCCGGAGTTAAGAGTTGCACCTGGCTTGCCCTGGTTGCTAACTTAATATATGTCTAGTTTTAAGTGCATACGCTATATGTTCTCTTATTGCTTAGCAATAAGCACATAGAGCGTCAACACCCACTTACATATTGAATAAAAATTTCCCCAACACTTTTTTACGATTTCAACCTCAACATGATGATGATGTACTGAAACTTTGCGCAGACTTTTTTATTAATTGTAAATCTACTAGCAAACTAAATTTTTTGTAGGTTAAATAAAAATCTATATATCTGTATGAAAAATTATATATGTTATACATATACAAAAAAAGTTAAACTGTACTACAGCTGTTTATCAAAACTGATTATTTTAGGAAGTAAAATTAGTTTATAGCATTACTTTGATCATATTTAAATCGGATTGATTGAGCATTAGCGTCTCCAATTAACAGCAGTTTTATTAAATTGAGTATAGTCTATTTTTATTGTATCTATACTTTCTAAATTTGAAGCCGACCTCGCTTTCTAATTTTTAACCGAGGTTCGTTAAAAAAAAATGCGAATTGTCCGTTTTCCATCAAATAAAACATTTCGAGCATGGACACGCTGTCCTTTTGTGAGACGTGGCTGGTATGCGTCAGCCGAAAACTAGCGAAACTCGACGTAAAACTGCTCTGCAGCCGACCGAGAGCAGGTCACAAGACTTCCAACTGGGATAAAAAGCCCGGGGTGAAACTCGAGCGCGTCTTTCCGATCTAGAAATTTCGACTGGAATTGCATTTCGAGGGGAGCGTGCCAAGACATGGCGTACGCCACATTTACGACAGCCCCAAAGGGTATAAAACTTATTTTTAAAAAAAGCAAAAAAAAAAGAACAGATGAATTTATATTTACCTTTTGATGGTCTTTTCTTGGACCGTTGAATTTTCCACCCCTTCCACCGAAGCCGCCTCGGCGGGCGGAATGCTGGTCGTTCTGCCGATTCTGCTGGGATTGCTGCTGTTGCGCTTGATTCTGGTCCATTTTCATCTGGCCGTTTGTTTCCGGCTTCTGTTCCATTTTGACCTGATCTGAGGACATATCGCAGTCGAAGGGCGAACTGGGAGTCTGTGCTATGAGCTTTTGATCCTACGGAGCTTTTCAAATCTTGTTGTCTGGGTAGGTAGTCGTAAGCGGGGACGCCGAACGGAATGGAAAATGGCCGAATGCCGGAGTAACGCCACGGCCACGGGGTTCGACGACGCTTGCGCTCTAGCGGGCCGGTTACGTCCTCTCGCAAATCACGCCGACTCGATCTTCACTCGTACTTTATTGATTTTTCGTTGCGCCCGTCTCAGAGGGCTGAAAAGCCAAAACTAAAAGAGAAAAACCTTTTTTTTTTGTGGCACTCACACGTTCATAAAACGATTAATGACAATCCGAGAAAAACTCTTTAAAAACCAACTTTTTTTTTACAACTACGTTTGTTTCACTTCAGACAAGACTGCACTTGAAACGACTTTATTACTTTCAATGCAGTAACATCATATGTTAAATAAAAATGGTGGATTTTTTAAATATATATTTTTTCTAATCGACTTTAATATACCTTAAAACCGCCAGAGTGGGTGTCAAGATCGTGAGAATTTTTACACGCTACCCAGTGGCCAGTACTCACGATTCATGAGCGTGAATGTATCGATACTTTTCCACTCAGGGGTGAAATTTAATTTCTCAGGTTTTTGTTGATTAAAACCTAAACTTTTATAAATACCATTTCATCTTGTTTTCTAATATTCCTTTATTTTATGCCAATGTCAGATCCTTTGCACTAGAATACCCATTGATCCAATAACCCATCTCTAATATTTGCATCTAATGAACCAGTACTTTAGGAATGCTACCCAGTACCCCCTACGAGCACGAATGTATCGATACTTTTTCACTCAGGGGTGAAATTTAACTTCTCACGTTCTTGTTGATTAAAACCTAAACTTTTATAAATACCATTTCATCTTGTTTTCTAATATTCCTTTATTTTATGCCAATGTCAGATCCTTTGCACTAGAATACCCACTGATCCAATAACCCATCTCTAATATTTGCATCTGATGAACCAGTACTTTTAGGAATGTTACCCACTACGAGCACGAATGTATCGATACTTTTTCACTCGGGGGAGAGGTGAAATTTAATTTCTCAGGTTCTTGTTGATTAAAACATAAACTCCTAAAAATACCATTTCATCTCGTTTTCCAAATTTTCCTTTATTTTATCTCAATCATTATAATACCATTGGACCCATCCCTGTCTCCATTGAGCTTTGGGCATCTGATGCACCAGAACCATTGGAAAGTTCTGGGCCTAACAGTGCTATAATTTTTATTGTTTCTAACATTTTGTATTTCGTTATCAATTTGCTTGTTCTGCTAGTCTTTAGTAATATATTTTGTCTTATTTTAAATGGTAAACCTATAAACTATAGAGATCAGCCAGTGGGCTGATACTTCAAACCATGCTTTCATGTCAATTATTTAAATCTATGTGACTTTAAAAAAAAATTGCCTAATATATTTCTTAAAACTGCCAGAGAGTGTGTCAAGATGGTGATAATCTTTCCATGTTACCCAGTACACAAGAGCAGGAATGTATTGCTACTTTTTCATTCAGGGGTGGTTTAATTTCTCGGTTTTTGGTGATAAAAACATACTCTTATAAATTGAATTTCATATTGTTTTCCAAATATTTCTTTATTTTATCCCAATCACTAGAATACCATTGGACCCATCCCTGTCTCTATTGAGCTTTGTGCTTGTGATGCAGCAACACTATTAGTAAAGTTCTGAGCATAAAACTGTATTGTAATTTTTATTATTTCTAATTTTTTGTATTTCATTATTAATTTGCTTCAACTTGATTCAAAAATTTAATTATCTGCTAGTCTTTACTATTAAATTTTGATTTAATTTAATTTGTAAATCTACGATCTACCAATTAATCTTAGAGGATAGCCAATGAGCTAGTACCGCATACCAAGTTTTCATGCCAATTATTTAAACCTATGAACATAAGAGTTTTAATTAGATAAACAAAAAGAAATTTACTTCATATATTTCATAAAATTGCCAGAGAGGGTTTCAAGATGGTGTGAATTTTTCCACACTACCCAGAACCCGCAAGCACGAATGCATCCATACTTTTTCACACGAGGATGAAGTTAAGTTTCTCAGGTCTTTAGTAATTAGGCTCACAATTCATCGTTTTTCATAAACCTGTCAACAATCATTATATGCTAATAAAATTACTCTAATTAGCTCTGCTAAATAACTAGATGAAGTGATGAGAAAGTTTTTTTAATCATTAAAATAAGAATATTATTGTTATATACATGGTATATAACAGCAGAAGTCATGTCAACCCCCAGAGTGCTGGTGTTAAAAAAATATATATATAAAAAATCCTTCAGTTCTAAATCAAATCCAGGACTTTTACCAGACCACCCCTGTCAATAGTTTATATGACGAATCAGGCCTTTGCCATTGGGGAGATATGTAAGTGTACCTCTTTACTCAACTAGAGAATGGAAAAAGCCAGTGGAGTTTCACAATTTATGGTGAAAAAAAAATCTACAGATACCAGTACAAAATACATATAAAAAATAAATAAATAAAATAAAAATATAAAAAATGCGAACAGTGCAAAATTTACTTTTGAAGATAAATATTCTTGAGGAAGCAAGAATCAACTCCATCCATCAATCATAGTAAGCATATCAACTACCAGATACGTTTCCAGAAAAATCCTACATATATGTCTATTGATATTTAATTCTAGTTTGTTGTTATTTATAGTTTATTTTATACTTTATTTATTAAAGCATCTTCTTCTTTATAAAAAGTGATGCTAAAATAAAAGGACTTTATGCATTTACTATAATAAAGGAGAATGATTTTTGAACAAATGTAGATGGACATTTAAGAAATATTGTTTTATTAAGTTTTTGTATTTAAGTTTTCTTTATCATTTCCACCATGGCGGTTTGAGCACTTGCATTAAAATTTTACCGATTTTAACATTTTTGTATTGAAGAGCTCCAGATACATTCATAAGGCCGAGTCCAAGTGATCCTTGCAACCCTCTTAAATAACCGACAGGCGCTTTCTTCCTGCCGCGAGCATCTTCAATAGGTGTGTTAACAGGAATTTCACCTAGATGAACTGTGTTTACCATTATTGGCATTAGTCTTGTATCGACATTTCTCTTTTTTACATCTGGCACGAATCCAATGTAGCTTCCTTTATTTACATCGATCCCATGTAAATAATCACCGTTCACCTCTGCCGGAAGGCATCTTCCGTATCCTACTTCAGAGGTGCCTTCACCTATACCAAGTTTGTAACGTATGGTTTTATACAAATTAGGTATCGCTTTTACTTTTAGACCTAAATTTTTAATGGTGTGAATGACATCCATCTCTTTGGGGGCTAAAATCCTCAGCCCTAAAGCCCATATGCGGGGGTCTCGTGACACAATTATATTTTCGCCAAGTTCGATTTCATCAAGAGGGTTTGGTTCGTCTCTACAAATATTATCCGGTTCATCCTCTTCTTGACACTTGTTTATGTATTTTTCAGCTTCTTTAGGGCTGAAAATAGACCAGGTAGCTAATTCGTGTTCGACACTTTTAATTTTGACTTCCTTCCGTGCCCTGAACATTATCATGTGGACTTGAAGCGCTTGGACTGAGGCGATATCACAATCAATATAAAAAGTATCATCTTTGCCCTTGTAAATAATTGCATCGTGGATAACTCTTCCGCGTCCGTTCAAAAATAGCGTGAACATACTTGGTCCTACTTCTAATTGTCTCACATCATTCGTTGTCAGCTCTTGCAGAAATCCTTCAGCGTCAGCGCCTTTAATTGATAATACTGATCTTCCTTTCAACCTCTCGGCACCGAATTCGGGTTTCTCTAGCTCAACAGTTGAAAACCACAAAGACTTCCTTGAAAGCATTGACTGACATACTAAAATAGGTCTTTGCAATATTCTGGGTAGATAATTCATTACTAATTTTTAGAAGCTAAACGCCAAACAAAAAGATTGTAATTTAATAATAATAATACCAATTTAACATATTTAATTATACTATTTCAGTAAATGCTATTTTAAAAAAATCACATGCTACAATAAATAACAATAAGAGAAATAAATACACATTTTTAATATCATATTTGAATCATTTTGTATTTTGAATGAGTTGAAAACTAATATTCAATTTTTTTTTCATTCAAATCCATTAAAATAGTTTGCAAGTTCAAAATTGGGATGGTTAGTTAATAGTCTCATGCTATTTAATGTTTTACTAATTCTATAATTAAGTTTTTGAGGTGTTTTACAATTTAGTTCAGATGTAGTTTAACGTATGGCCTATTCTGAATTGGGTAGAACAATCAATTATGATTGAATGCCAAGTAGCCTCTCTACTGATCTGCAATCATCACTTTATAAATTATATTTTTCCTTATTGAATAAAAATTAACATTCAGAGATAAATCTGTGTTAAAAACTCAATACAATCTTTTGAAAGATGCTGTTATGTATTATTATTTGAGATTACTCAGATTATAGATGATAAGCTCAAATCTGCACTTGCATGTGCATACATACACATGTGTACATAGTTGAGCCTATCAGTTCTTGTAGTCCATTGGTGATTCCAGCTTTGTAATTTACAAACCGGCAGGTCTTGAGAATCACCCACCTCAGGAGTTGGCAGTCCAGGGACAGACCTCAGTATTATCTTTCCAGCCACTGAGGTTGGGCTCCGGGTGCTGTCAACAGCTAGGTCAATTCAGCAACCATTTCAGTCACTCTTAAATACATTCTTATTTATTTATATACCATTCACTCAGGGTGGTAGTACTTGATATTCCTCCATCACCCTTTAGACTTATTATATAACTAACTGGCTGATGGGGTACTCAATGTTCTGCCATCAGCCCTCTCACCTACACATTCACGCTAATAAATACATTCATTCTCAACATACTCTAGGGTTACACAAAACCATCAGTACTATGTACAACAAAACACCCCCTTTATTCCAAAAATTGGAACAGGGGACCCAAATTCTCACTGCTGTGCTCAAGCACAGTTCCCGTATTGGGTGACATTATTACACACTCTCTATTCAGAGCCAAGGTTTGGCACCCTTCAGGTGAGGATGACCCTTCTATGAGTCAGGTACTCAATTCATGAGGGTTTAATGTCCAAATACCCGTTGGGTGTCACGGTTGAGGTTTCAAACCTCGTTATAATATATTTTTCATACCATTATCAATTAAAAAATCGTGGGCTCTGCTGGGATTTGAACCTAGAACCAGTAGTGTGGCATCAGACATCCTAGCCACTTGGCCATCCCAGTACCAACAACTTTATATAAATCAGAACTACTTTTTTAAATTTACCATATAAAAGTGTTGTTTAATATTGAATTCATTGGCAACGATACTGCCCAGGAGGAAATAGAATTTTACATCAAAACAAAAAATTCAAATCAAGTGGCCTTAGTTATCCAAAGCTGAGACTAGAAGCTTTATATTTAAAATGCTACATTTGGCTGTAGTATGCTTATTTTACCTAAACACTTTTTATTATTACATAAAAACTTACTATTTCTAATTGTTCTTAAATATGTTAAATCACTTTTAATGATGTTCACAGATAAAAACAACAAGGCAGAAAAGTATATTTCTTTATTTTTCTTTCTGTATTGTCATTAATCTCAGAACTTTCCTATAATTCTGTTTATTATTGAAAAGTCATTTATCACTTATGAACGACTAACAGATTATCAATTAACTGACAAATCTACAATTTAATGATTAATTAAACAAAGGGATTTTGTTTTTTCTTTTGACAAGTATTCCAAATTGGCTTGCGAGATCTTATTTATTTTTTTATTTTTTTAATAGTTGCTCTAACCCTTGAAACTGATTCAAGTGTTCTTCAATGACATTGTTTACATTAATGATAGCAACATTTGTACAGGTGTGAACATAAAATATAAAAACAAAAATGTAGCCATTGGGCGGCCCCATTGTCTGGCTGCCGCAACATGGAAGCGGGCATCCCAAGGATAATTATCCTTCTTTTAGCCATACATGTGAGTCCTGTAAGCTGTTTTCATAAATTAAATTTTAAATTACAATTAAAATGAATTTTTCCGCCAAAGGAATCAGGTGAACCAAAACCTTAATTTGATAGAGTCATATTTTTGGTTGTATTATGATGATTAATGTGCAATAATTACCTTATATATGTAAAACTAGCAAATAGGTATTTTGATTAGGAAGCACTGTAATTTATCATTCCATGATGCCTAGCAGGTTGTTTTTATTAGTTAAATTTTACTGTCATGAGTTTTAAAAATTTGAACAGCTCTGATCATTCTGATCTGTCAATTCTTGATTTGGTATTTTGACATCTTCAGTCTGTCAGTTATTTTGTCAATAAGGTCTTTTATTAAATTTGCTAAAATACAATAGGGAGAAATGGGTAACATGGAGCAATACCAGTAATAAACCAGAATAATCAGAAACATATCTGAAAAACAAAAAAACAGAGAATAGGTTGACCATTTTAAAATATGATGATCAAACTATATAAATATTATGAGATAATGAAAATATTTTACTTTGATTTTATTAGTTTGAGTATAACAAATCAGTCGTATTTGGAAAATGTCTCATGAGAGGTATATGCCATGATGGTGGTGGTTCCTCGAAGGAATCTTGTGTTTATAATGGTCCTGCAATAACTTTAAAAGATGAAAGCGCATTATCTGCACTCAATGAGATCTGTCCTTATCTTCTAGATGTAAATGGTAAAATTTAATTTTCTTGTGTTTCTCTTCTCTGTAGAGGTTAATATTTACTTTTTTTTTTTTTTTAGAAAAACAAGGGCTTTGCTGTGACGAAGAGCAGATATCGTTAATTATGTCAGAATATACCGAACTACAGACTATATTTAAAAGATGCCCATCTTGTCAGTACAACATAGCTCTTCAGATTTGCCATTTCACCTGTTCACCGAACCAAAGTGATCACATGCAGCTGGTGTCTTACAATATTGATATGGATACACTAAGTATTGTTTCATACTTTTCATTGAGATTTTATTCAAATTTCAAATGCAATGAATTTTCCCATTTAGAAAAATATGTTACCGGTTATAACGCGTACATGTCACCTGATTATATGCAACGAACTTTTGACTCTTGTTCGCAAGTAATACTTCCTTCTTTGGGCAAATTAGCTATAGACACAACATGCGGGAAATATTCAGGATCACAGTGTAACAAAGAAAGGTTTTAAAAAAAATTAAACAAAATGAATATATTAATATGCAAATAACTGAGTTTTTGTTTGGTTTTTTAGATGGTATGAATTTTTTGGTAACCCAATCGAAAATCCATTCTCATCTTATAAAATTCAATTCATCCAGAAAACTGAGAAGTATTTACACTATACACCTTTCAATCCAAAAACGTACAAATGCTCTGAGGCGGTTTATGTAAGTTTAACATTTTATTTTATTTAATTGATAGAGATATATAAAACATACTTTTGTTGAATTGTCAAAATGCTTATGTATATTTAATATGAATTAAATTAATTATAAATATGTAAATACTGAATGAATAATGTAAATAATTAAATTTTTTCCAGAAATAAAATAGTCATAATTTCTTGAAAATGGCACAAAATTCTGAAAGGTCGGAAATCTAATTTTATTTAAAAATACCTTAAAAATAAAAAGGACTAATGAAAAAATTAATATATCAAAATGTATAAAGTTAATGATTGAATTACGTAGTTAATTACACTCTTAAGTTTTTGTTTTATGAGAGTAAAACATTAAATTTTTCCCATGGCATGTTAAATGATGTAAATGGTTTTATCCCTCTGATATGTCCATTATAAGAATTAGAGATACACACCTCTAGAAGTCAAGTGCCTGATATTGTATAGCGCCTCGGCGGTGGCGCAGGAGGACCATTAAATTTGTGGGTTGTGGGCTGCCCCATGTTTTGCCCTTAAAATATATAGTACATGTGACTTCACCCCCTCGAAAAAAATAAACATTAATGTACTAATTACTGATTTATATAACCTCAAATCTGATCATACATGTACATATATACACACATGTACAGAATTGAGCCTATCACTTCTTGCAGTCCATTGGCAATTCCAGCATTTGTAATTCACTGAAGTTGGACTCCAGGGGCTATCAACAGCTAGGTCATTTTAGCCCTGACACAATCAGTTCATGAATCCAAGCCCATTCACACTCTCACTTACTCTTAAATACATTATTTCTTATTTAAATATCAGTTAGGGCAGTGTGGTACTCGATATTACTCCAGTATCCGTTACGCCTATTATATAACTAACCTGCTTGAGGGTTGATGGGGTATTCAATATTCCGCGTTCGACTCTCTCACATTACACATTTACTCTAATCAATACATTCACTTTCAACACACACTAGTGGACACAAAACTATCAGTACTGTATACAATAACATATTTGTTTTATCCGAGAATTGGACCCAGATAATCACTGCCTTGCTCAAACACAATTCACATATCAGACAGTCTTCCTATATGGGCTAAGGCATTGCACTCTTCAATTAAGTGGGACACATCGAAAAACTTTTCTTTACATACTGGACACATACATGGGCTTTGGCCCAAAAGTAAGTGTCTGTTCGACCTCATATGACCTATTCTTAATTGAGTGAGGATGACCCTTCTTCTACGAGTCATGTCCACCCATTGACTGTGCTCTTGATAAGTGAGAGCTTTTTAACTGTTCCAGCCCACCGATGTTGCCATTTTCTTTTAATCATGTTTTTTTATCCTAATGCTATAATGAAATTTAGAGTTTATAAAACTAATGAAAAAATATTAATGTTAAACAGTTGACCAAATAAATCAATTAACACGATTAATATTTTGTCATTTGTGATTATTGTTAAAATAATATTTCATCTTAGTTACTTATGTGTGTACCATTAGCCTTCCCAAATTATTATTTTTGAGTAAATATTACTATTATAAAATTATTAACCAATTTTGTTCCAGAATAATTCTGCTTCTTGCAGTTGTATTGATTGTTCTGACAGCTGTCCTCCTGCTCAAAAGTACCCTGAAGATGACATCTCATTAAATATCTTAGGGGTCGATGGATATATTTTAATAGCTAGCATTGCTTACGGGTTGTTTTTTATCATTTTTGTATCCGTGAGATGTTACTTTTACCTGTCCAAAAGTAAAAATGGTATGTTATTTCAATAAATTAAATTACATTACGAGATTTAATGAAGCATGTTTTTAGGATTGACACTTTTTAAAAATAGCAATAATGAGAGACAAATTAAGCAAAAAATCAATGTTTTCCATCGAGTGACTAATAAATTGGAAGAGTTTATTGAAAATTCCTTCTATCTGTGGGGAAAATGTATTTAAAGTTGATTGATATAAATTATTAGTTGTTGACATTAAAAATGTTCTCTCTAGTGGTAGCCAAGCATCCAACTTTAGTGCTTGCTCTTTCAAGTTGGCTTGTCGCAGTTTTAATATTTGGCGTGCAGTATCTTGAAATCACAACAGACCCTGTACAAATCTGGGTCTCCTCCACGTCACGATCAAAAATCGAGAAGGATTATTTTGAAGAGACATTCGAGCCTTTTTACAGAACTGAGCAAATATTCATAAAAAGCGTTGGTTTACCGAAAGTATGCCAAACTAAGCTAGTGTTTACACAAAGAAATCAAAATTAATAGAAATCTGTTTGCAGATAGTGCATCACACATCCAATGGACCTATTGAATTTGGTCCAGTGTTCCACAAGAATTTCCTCTTGGAACTGTATAAATTACAGGAAGAGATAGAAGCTGTAAGTAAACTGCAATTTATAAATAAATAAGCTTTTATTTTTAATAAATGTTACACAATTTTTAAAATAAAGAAGAAAAAACAAATAAACAATATAAAATTATCCTTCTTCCATCACAGCCATGTGGCCAATCTTTTAAAATACAATATGGATATTAATAAATTATAAATTTAATACAATATGTAATGCTGATGGGTGTAAATTTATTAAACGGGTGTAAATAACATCCAAATAACTATCTTTATTTTGTATTTAAAAAAAAAAGCATAAAAATATTTTCGAACATATTATTATTATTATTTATTACTAGGATACCCTATTAGATACTCTTGCATTTCTTTCCAAGATCTCTTGTTTTTAGTTTTTCTGTGCCAAGTGGACCTGCTGGATCTGTTCAACGTTTGTGTGGTCTCTGTCTTCCTCGGTTTTCTATAGTTGAATCCAGTTTGTGGAAGACTTGGTCATCACATATCCTGCCCAATTCCATTTTAAATTTCTAATTTCACTGGAAATCCCTTTTATTTATTTAGCCTCGTCTTTTAATGTTGAGCATACTTCTTTCCATCTTTCATTCTATTGCTGCGTTTTTCTTCATTTTTTTACTTACGCTCCAATTTTGTGCGCCATTGATTAAAGGGCTTGATACAAGTGTCTAGTACTTGATCATTTTTATCCAGAGTGATATTTACATTTTTTGAAAATAATTTTAAGCCCTTTTTTTTTTTTTTTTTTTTTTTTTTGCAAAGCTCAACAATTGACCCAAATATACCACTTCATGACCCATTTCGAGCTGTTTCCTTCAATTTGAATTTTCTATTTGTTAGTCATTAATGTAGTTTTGATTTCATTTAGTTTTAAACCTGCTAATGTATAATATCATATATTTGATCTATTACTCAACAACTATGTTATCTACAAAAATGCAAGTATGATAGTCTTTTCCCCCCAAGAAATCTCTTATTCTTGTATTTTTGATACAATTAAGATTTCCTCCAGAATGGTGTTAAAAAGCATGGGTCTCCTTGTTTCACCACTCGCTATATAGGAAAGCCTTTTCCCGATTTTGTCCATTTTTATCCGTTTTTGCATTTTTGTTCACGGTGTTTACAATGTTGATGAATTTAGGCTGTATGTTTTGTCTCTCAAGTGCTGCCTACAGGAATGGGCTTTTCACTGTAAAATGTTTTTTCAAAACCTATGAAGGCATGTAGATTGGAATTTAGAATTTTGAATTATTAATTAGAAATATTAGAATTTTGATGTGTTTTTTATTAGTTGGTTGAAACAAAACTTGCCAGAAATCTGCTTGTTCTGGGGGTTGTTGAGAGTTTTATGTAGTTTAGAATTAACTTAGAGAATGCCCTGCTAGGGGTGGAAGCTGAAATTTATTTGCATTATTTAAAATAGAGCATGATTGTCTCCGTTGTCCCGATCTGCATATTCTTGCTGAATTTGATTTGATTTCTGCATTTTGGCCATATTCAATGGTTGGTCTAAGTTTTGGTGAGATAGCTACCAAGAATAGGCAGACTAGGATATTCTCACCATAAAATTTCATTTAGTTTAAACAAATTATTTTAGATTCCAGGTTTGGTCGATGTTTGCTTCGCTCCATTAAGCTCAAAGCCAAAAGCTACCAACATTACTCAATGTGTTATTCAAAGTGTCTGGGGCTATTTTCAAAACAATTTACAAACATTTAATAGTTCTCACAAAGATGAAAATAATTTCACTGTTAATTATTTAGACCACCTTTACTCCTGTATGCAGTACGTATACTGATACTTATATGTATTTAAAAAATGATTATTTATTTGTTTAATTTTTGTTGTTTATAGGAATAGTTTCAATCTGGATTGCTTGGCTCCGTATGGAGGAAATGTTGAACCTGCTATAGGTGTGGGTAGTTTTTTACAGTTTGATGAATCTGCTTTCCACAGAGCAGAGGCACTTGTTCTAACATACGTTATTAACAACCATTTAGATCAAGATAAACTTAAACCAACACTGGAATGGGAAAAAAAGTAGTTTTCTAAATATTATTAGTTATAATTAAGAATAATGGTATAAAAAAAATAACTTTCTAGCTTTATTTCCCTTCTTAAAAACTACACGAGCTATAGAAAGCCTGAATTTATGGATCTAGCTTTCCGCAGTGAGAGATCTATAGAAGATGAACTTCAAAGAGAATCAGTGGCTGAAATTTTTACAATAGCCATAAGTTATATACTTATGTTTATATACATTTCAATTTTTCTTGGTTCTTACAAATCATATCGAACGCTTCTGGTATTGAAACCCGCTGCAAAAGTTATGAAACTTGTTAATCATAAAAAAAAAATTTGTGTTTAGATCAACAGCAAAATTGGACTTGGACTCGGTGGCGTTCTCGTTGTTTTAGTTGCAGTGTTTTGCTCTCTAGGGATATTTGGTTACGTCGGTTTGCCAACTACCCTTCTAACTATTGAGGTGATACAAAGCTACTTAGTTTTAATGAAACACGGTGGTCTTTACACGAATTCACTTGTAGGTAATTCCATTTTTAGCACTGGCAGTTGGAGTCGACAACATGTTTCTGCTTGTTGAAACACAAAAGAAAAATATAATACTTTACAAAGATACTGTAGAATGCGTAGGCCAAACCTTGAAGCAAATTTGTCCTTCTTTACTTCTTACAACATTTTCTGAAGCTGCTTGTTTTGTGATAGGCATGTTAAACCATTTTGAGTACAACTCTAAAAAAAAAAAATTAAATTTATCTTTTTTCAGGAAGTTTAACGAATATGCCTGCTGTAAGAACTTTTGCTTTGTATGCCACTGTTGCATTACTCTTGAATTTTGCTCTTCAAATGACTATATTTGTTGCTTTCCTATCTCTTAATGGAAAACGTGTTTTGGTACGTATTTGTTAAAATAAATGAAAAGAAAATCTAATAATAAATTTCATACTGTCATTACAGGACAATCGCTTAGATTTATTTTGCTGTATAAAATTAAAATCTGCCCCCAGGCTGTCATCTATTGATGAGACGTGGTTTCATAATGCAATTCAAAAACCTTTGTTGGCATTCATGTTCCAACCGGTGGTGAAAGCCATTATTTTTTTAAGTTTCATATTTTGGTTTGCGGCGAGTATCGCCACAATCCCTCATATTGAACCTGGATTAGAACAGGAAATTTCTATACCTTTGGATTCCTACGTTGCAAAATTCTTTACTGTAAGTGACTTTTTTTTTTTTTTAATTCATAAATATATATTATTCATACAGTTTCTTGATAATATTTTCATACTGTTGACATCCAACCAGAACAACTGTTGGTTCGATTAATTTTAAGTTCTGTAATCTTCAAAATTGTTTTACTGAATGATTATTATTTATGAATGATTTACATTGTTATTTGAACAAGATTATTTTAGAATTCTAGCTGACTTTGAAAATGATTATAAAATATGAATGTTATTGAACAAGAAAACAATAAGCAATTGACTGAAAAACTGTATAATTGAAATTCAAAAGGAATCTAATAAAAATAAATCAAACAAAAATAGTTTAGATAATTATTTTAAAAAATTAAACATTTTTATTATTTTTATTTTAAACCACTATTGGTGTGACATTTTTAGTATTAACCAACAGAAATAAATGATAATTATCAAGTCAGACTATTTATATGGATGGCATAGTTTAAAAATGGTTTTGGGATTTCCTCCAGTGGTCTGAGGGATGATGAATCTATAATTTGATTGGTTTGTCCCATCCTTGCTGAATTTGTCTGTCAGACACATTTCAGTATCTCACTATCTTCAATGTTGAGTCTGGGTGATTTATTCTATAAGTTTTATAAAACAGACTTGACTACAACAGAAATCACTCTGTCTCAACACTGAAGATGGTGAAATGCTGAAATGCATCTAGCTGAACTAATCAGCGATGATAAATAGACCAAGTGATAGGTAACTATCAAATTAAAAATGATTTCTAAATATATGAATATAGATTGATTATCTTATATGTCAATTATGAAGTGAATTTAGGGTAGAATCCTGTTTTTGCCCTTAAAATTTTCATTGTTTAATAATTTGAAAATATATTTTAACGTGACATTTAAAAAGTATAACAGTATTTTGTGTTAATAATTTATTTATTTATAGATGAGTAAGGATGTTTTGTCGTTGGGACCACCAGTTTATTTTGTAGTAAAGTCGGGGTTGAACTATAGCGATGACCATGTTCAAAATCTCATCTGCGGAGGCCTGAGATGTGCATCGAATTCGTTAAGTACACAAATCAATACGGCTTCAAAACAAAAGAATATGTAAGAACTATTAAACGACTTGTTAAAACTATTTTAAACCCACGCTAATGTTTCAGAACTTACATTGCAAGCCCGGCTTCATCCTGGATTGACGATTATAACGACTGGTCAACAATCGATGGATGTTGTAAAATGTATCCAAATGGGACGTTTTGCCCTCATAGTGGTGAGGATCTAACTTATGGTCCAACATTTAATAATTTCTTTAAAAATTAATTGTACACAGATGCAAATTGCATGCCGTGCAATATAACTCTAAACAGTGACCGGACGAGGCCAGACGTGGCATCTTTTAAACATTATTTGCCATTTTTTCTCCAAGACATTCCTGATCCTGATTGCGCTAAAGGAGGCCATTCTGCTTACAACCAGGTTTTTAAATTTTTTTTATCCATTATGTTACTGTTTTTATTTTTTTATAAAGAATTTGTTTTCCAGGGGTTGATGTATTTCCTGGATAACTACGCTACGGCAGTTGTATCAGATTCATATTTTATGGCTTATCATAAACCTTTGTTTACATCAAGAGATTACTACACTGCTTTAAGAATGTCTCGTGCAATAGCTGAAAATATAACAAAAACTTTAAATGACTTACTGCCAGATCAAGAGAACGTTGAAGTATTCCCTTACAGGTATTATCTAATGAAAAAAAAAAACCTTTATTTTAATGATCTGAATTTGATTAATGGGCATGATTCCAGTGTGTTCTATGTTTTTTACGAACAATACCTGACAATTTGGATTGATGGTGTCATATCGATTTGTTTATCCTTACTCACCATCTTCTTAGTCAATGTCCTGCTCAATGGGTTTGATTTAATTACAGCGAGCTTGGTTTTATTTACTGTTTCAATGATTATGTCGAGCATAGCTGCTCTGATGTATTGGTGGAACATCAACTTAAACGCCATCACCCTCGTTAATTTGGTCATGGCAAGTATAATTGCTCTTTATTTAATTAATTTAAAATTAGTATTTTATTTTTATTTCAGGCGATTGGTATAAGTGTGGAATTTTGCAGTCATATTGCGCACGCATTTTGTTTTTCTCCACACGAAACCAAAGATAAAAGAGCCAAAGATGCCCTGTTGAACACAGGCTCCTCTGTAAGACCATTTTCTTCAATTTAAAATGGAAATCCTTCATTAATCTCATTTTTTTAGGTTTTTTCAGGGATCACCTTAACAAAAATTATCGGTGTATCAGTCCTAGCATTTTCAAAGACGCAGATTTTTAGAGTATTTTATTTTAGAATGTACTTGGGGATGGTCGTGTTTGGAGCGCTTCATGGTCTCATTTTCCTTCCAATCCTACTCAGTTATTTTGGTAATTATATTTGCATTTAAATGTCATGGATTGTGATTTGAATGAATTAATGTTTTAAGGTTCTGACAACAAAATTCGAATGTATCTCAGATCAAGACGAAGGCTGGCATGTGTGGAAAGTGAATAAATTATTTAATAAGTCATTAATATGCATCAAAATGTATTATTTTATTTATTAAAGAAAATCAGAAAATAATATTTTTTAATATGTAAACTTGTATTTTTCTTTTTCCTTGTCAAGTGGAAAATCATGATCTGAATAGTTAACCATGTACAGGTTGCTTGTAGAGAAAGGTTGCTTGGTCTATTATACTTGGTCGACACAAGAAAGCATCAGATACAATGATATGGTACACAGATGGCTCCAAAACAAACGAAGGAACCGGATCAGGCATTTTTTGTACAAGCCCAAAACATGAGCAATCAAACTCATTAGGGAAGTACACTTTGGTCTTTCAAGCAGAAATACATGCCATCAATGCTTGTGCCCTGGAAAATCTTAAAAGAGGTTACACTGACAAAAAAATCCTCATAAGATCAGATAGCCAAGCAGCCATTAAAGCATTAGCATGTAAAAGAATCACATCAAAATTAGTCAGTGAATGCATCAAAAATCTCCAAAACCTGGGGAAACAAACAATCTGATTATATCTTGGGTGCCAGGGCACTGGGGAATTTTGGGTAACGAGAAAGCAGAAAGACTGGCCAGAGGAGGATCTGCAAGACCATACATAGGCCCCGAACCTATTCTTGGGATAAGTTAACAAAAACAAATATAGAATCCTTCATCGCAGAATGGATCCAAACAAAACAAAAGGAGAAGTAGATAAACTCTAGCGGTGCTAGACATAGTAAACTTATGATGAAACAACCCTCACCGAGACTGGCAAAAACACTGCTGCAATTGGAGAGGGGAAAACTAAGAGGAGTGGTAGGACTACTAACCGGTCACTGGCATCTGAGAAAACATCTGCTCAACATGGGTATATACAGCGATGATCCCATTTGCAGATTATGTAATGAGGAGGAAACAGCCACTCATATCACTTCGAATGCAAAGCAACAGCTCAATGGAGATTTAACTTAATATGGAAAAAACTTAGGGAATCAAATTGCAGCAGTGACAGCCAATGACCTGATACTTCTAAGAAGAAGAGGAGTGAGTCTGTTGAACTGAACTATAAGGAACTAGGAAGGCTGCAGTGCCTGGGGAGTGCAAACCCCGGTTCCTAGTACCCATTTTCACCATAACATACACTTGGTCCAGGAGGGCCCCAGCCCCTTACAAGAAGCGAGTAGGGCTGGCACCTGACATAAAGTCAGTCCTTGGTAATGAGAGTGGGTTGTTGGGTCCTCTGTTCCCATTTTTAAAGGTGGGGGGGGGTGTTTCCCCATTTGTAAATATCATATATATATATATATATATATATTATGCAAGGTGGGCGACCAAGACCCGAGGGGTTAAATGCCTGGGTAAACTCGTACCCCTCCCTAAAAGGTCCGGGACTTGGTCGGCTCACGTGTCCTGCATAAACCTCTTGGACTTGTTCGCAAACCCCAATATTTTGGATTTTATCTCGGGGAGTGATTTGGTGATGTCCTCTCCTTCAAAGATTTCAAATCTAGACCTATCACATTCTGCGAGGTAGTGCTTTGCTGTTTCGTCTTTTATTTCGCAGAAGCGGCAAAAGGGATCTGGTAGGATACCCATTACGATAGGCAGTGGCCCGTCAGAATACCTATCAGCCTCCTAATTCCCTTCCTTGAGATAGAGAATAGCCATTTCGATTCAGCTGGTTTGATCGCCTTAACACTCTTTTGATTGCCTATGTCCAGGGGATAAATTCCACTCCCTAAGGAATTGTTTCATGCCCCAGTTATTGATACTCTCTTTCGCTGTGCTCATAGAGTGAGGTAATACCGGTTGTGGCCCAACAAACGCAGTATTAGAACCTTCTTTGGCTAGACTATCCGCCTTTTCATTGCCTTGGTGTCCTTTATGTGCTGGTATCCAAATAAGAGTTTCCTTGTTCTCAAACCTATTGATAAGATCTATAATTTCCTCCACCAGTCGTGAGGTTTACAAATCTTTTTGCAATTCCTTAAGACTAGCCTGACTGTCAGAAAAGATTTTAATATCTTTTCCCATAATTTTATTTTCCATAAGTGTTCTACAACACACATTGATGGCCCAGATTTCCCCCTGAAAAACGGCGGTGTTATTGCCAAGAGGGGAGATGCTGATTCCTACACCACTCCCTCTACCTTTAAGTGAACCATCTGTGTAGCAGTCTGTTACGATGGTCATCATCCAGACTATAATCACAATCACAAGGGGTGACTACCTGAAAGTGCTTTTTCCCCGAAGGGAAATATCATATGTTAGCTCTAGAATATATTTGTTGTGTACATAGTTGTTTGTATACCCATTGGCCCCCAGAATGTGCTGTTGGGTGATATACTTCATTGTTGGTAACCTTGATTAAAAAAAAAAAAAAAAA